CTGATCAATAATCAATAAAGATACAGTGTATTCTGATCAATAATCAATAAAGATACAGTGTATACTGATCAATATAATCAATATCTCTGTGTCTTTGTTGTAGCTCCGACCTCCTTCCTGTTGTTCAGTCAGAAGACGGCCATTAACCGGATGGTGATTGATGAGCAGCAGAGTCCAGATATAATTCTTCCCATTCACAGTCTGAGGAACGTCAGAGCCATCGACTACGACCCGCTGGACAAACAGCTGTACTGGATCGACTCCAAGCAGAACGTCATCCGCCGCGCTCAGGAGGACGGGAACCAGGTGAGTCTACCTGACCGGTCTGTCTGTGAGCTGTCTGTCTGTGAGCCGTCTGTCTGTCCGCTGACCCGTCTGTCTGTCGTCCTCAGAGTATGACGGTGGTGTCGAGCTCTCTGGGCGGACCCAATCAGGGTCTGCAGCTGTACGACCTGAGCATCGACATCTACAGCCGCTTCATCTACTGGACCAGCGAGGTCACAAACGTCATCAACGTCACCCGCACCGACGGCAGTAGGGTCGGCGTGGTGCTGCGAGGAGAACACGACAAACCCAGAGCCATCGTCGTCAACCCGGAGAGAGGGTCGGTACCCAGAACCACATCACAGCACCACGGCTACGCCAGACTCCACTCACAAAACCACTGATTTTAGAATCATAAAACAAATTAAACTTTACTTACCACATTGGTACATATGTTTTAGTTCCTGGAGCGGATCAGTAAGTTCTTTAAGTTCTTGGAGTTCTGGGAGATCAATACACAGAGATAGATCTTGTTTATGTTTGTCAGATTTGTTCTTTATTTCTGATTAAAACCAGGAAACGTTTCAGAGCTTCAGATAAAAGACAGCAGTTGTTCTCTCTGTTGTTTGTCCTCTTGTTCGGAACCATGGTCGCAGGGTTCCTTCGGTTCTTCAGAAACTGACCCTCCTCGCTGTCTGCAGGTACATGTACTTCACCAACCTGCTGGAGCGCTCTCCGAAGATCGAGCGGGCGGCGCTGGACGGCACCGAGCGAGAGGTTCTGTTCTTCAGCGGTTTGGGGAAACCCGTCGCTCTGGCCATCGATAACGAGGTGGGGAAGCTGTTCTGGGTGGACTCAGACCTGCGACGCATCGAGAGCAGCGACCTCTCTGGTGAGTCTGAAGGGTGGAAGCTGGACGGTAGAGATTCAGAGTTAGTTCATATTTTAGGATCCATAAAGAAACCGTTATTAGATTATAGCTGATCAATGATCAGTAAAGGCTTTAAATGATTCCTTTATAATACTTCACTGTTACTTTAAAGTCCTCCATGCCGGTTCCTGATTGATACCAATATTATACAGTTCATTTTAAAATGAGTGTTTATCAATAAACTTTATGGACTTTATATAAACTATAAATCAGAAGCTTCACTCTGGAATACAATGAAGAAGAAGAAGGACTGAGTCTCAGAGTGAGACCTTTTCTTTTGCTATCATAATCAATCAGTTTACTGTCAGATAATCAATAAAAACCCACTTCAAAGTGAATCTGTCCAACAATCACCATTTCTGGGTGGTGGAGGTGGAGATGAAGTGTAAAAACTTTAATTAAATTATATTTGACAAAGATAAAATCTGGTTTTAAACTGTTTAAGTCCAACAGTATGAGAGAGGCTGACTACAACTCCCATGATCCCACGCTGCTTCACCACCTCATCACACTTCCTGTTATTATTGGATGTCAGAGGCCCCCTAGTGGCAGAAACTGCTGCTGCGTCCTCAGAGACTCTTCACAGAGTCACTTTATGATGTAATCAGATATATAATATAAAATAATATAAATATATATAATATAATCTATATAATATAAATATAATATATTATATAAATGTGTTTCTTACTGACCTCAGTGTGTCCCTGTCCTCCTGCCTCCCCTCCTGCCTCACCCTCAGTTTCTCACCCGTTCCGTTGCCTTTGTTCCTGAACTTTTTGCCCTCCAACCTTGTTTTGTTTTTGCCCCGCTGTGTTTGTTTGTTTGTTTACGTTCAGGAGCCAATCGGATCGTGATCGCCGACTCCAACATCCTGCAGCCGGTGGGGCTGACGGTCTTCGGGAACCACCTGTACTGGATCGACAAACAGCAGCAGATGATCGAACGCATCGACAAGACCACGAGGGAGGGACGCACCAAGATCCAGGCCCGCATCACGTACCTGAGCGACATCCACGCGGTCCACGAGCTGGACATGAGGGAGTACAGTGAGTGACCGCGGTTAGTGTTCATTCAGAGGAACACGTTCTCCCTCAGACTCACCTGAGCTCTCTGTCCCTGCAGGTAAACACCCGTGTACCTGGGACAACGGCGGCTGCTCCCACATCTGCATCGTGAAGGGAGACGGGACGACTCGCTGCTCGTGTCCCGTCCACCTGGTTCTGCTGCAGGACGAGCTCTCCTGTGGAGGTGAGAACCTCAAAGACCTTAAACACCTCAAAGATCTCAAAGACCTTAAACACCTTAAACACCTTAAAGATTTCAAAGACCTTACAGACCTCAAAGATCTCAAAGACCTCTTACTGGGTTTTAAAGGCCAGAGTCTCACAGTGTCTCCTCCTCCTCCTCCTCTTCCTCCCTCTTCCTCCGCCCTCAGAGCCCCCCACCTGCTCTCCGGAGCAGTTCTCCTGTACCTCCGGGGAGGTGGACTGCATCCCTCAGGCCTGGAGGTGTGACGGTTATCCCGAATGTGACGACAGCAGCGACGAGGAAAACTGTCCCGTCTGCTCCGAGTCGGAGTTCCAGTGTGACAGCCGACAGTGTATTGATCTGAACCTCCGCTGCAACGGAGAGATCAACTGTCAGGACCGGTCCGATGAGAACAAGTGTGAAGGTAATCAATCATATTGATCAGAAAACACTGTATCAATCATATTGATCAGTATACACTGTATTAATTATAGTGATCAGAATATACTGTATTTTTATGGATGATATTGATACTGTATTGATATTGATACTGTATTGATGATATTGATGGTATTGATGATATTGATACTGTATTGATGATATTGATGATATGGATGATATTGATGATATTGATGACACTGATTGGGTTAATAACGTCTCTTCCTGTTTGCAGTGCGTTGTCCTCCTGATCAATTCACCTGCTCTAACGGTCAGTGCATCGGGAAACATAAGAAGTGCGACCACAACATGGACTGTACAGACAACTCTGACGAGATCGGCTGCTGTGAGTCGATCGATCGATTGATTGATTGATTTAGTTGTTTAGTATATTTCATATTCCACATCAAAAGATAAACAGAACAAGAAACTTTTTTCTTCTGTGGTTTTAGACCCGACGGAGGAGCCTCCTCCCCCTCCCAACAACACCATCGGCTCCATCGTGGGCGTGGTCATGGCGTTGTTCGTGGTGGGCGCCGTGTACTTTGTGTGTCAGCGCGTCCTCTGCCCGCAGATGAAGGACGACGGCGAGACGGTCACCAATGACTTTGTGGTTCACGGCCCGTCCTCGGTGCCGCTGGGATACGTGCCGCACCCGAGCTCGCTGTCCAGCTCGCTGCCAGGTGGGACGCACGCCACCGCGCTCACGATGACGCGTTTAAGGAATAATTATTGTTATTGTTAATTTATTTTCTGATCTCATCAACAGGAATGTCCCGAGGGAAGTCTGTGATTGGCTCCCTCAGCATCATGGGCGGGAGCAGCGGGCCGCCGTACGACCGTGCTCACGTCACCGGAGCGTCGTCCAGCAGCTCATCCAGCACCAAGGGAACCTACTTCCCCCCGGTGAGTCTGGCCCTTTAAATCCTCCCAATCAATAATCAATACTGAATATTTACTGTTAGTATTGATCTAACAAAGCGTTTCCATTAATGTTGTTGTTTGTTTGTTTGTTTGTTTGTTTGTTTACAGATCCTGAATCCTCCTCCGTCTCCTGCTACAGTTCGCTCTCAGTACACGATGGAGTTCGGTTATTCCTCCAACAGCCCGTCAACACACCGATCATACAGGTACTCTTCATCTTCATCTTATCTTCATCTTCTCTTCATCTTCTCTTCATCTTCATCTTCTCTTCATCTTCATCTTCATCTTCTCTTCATCTTATCTTCTCTTCATCTTCATCTTCTCTTCATCTTCATCTTATCTTCATCTTATCTTCTCTTCATCTTCATCTTCATCTACTCTTATCTTCATCTTCTCTTCATTTTCATCTTCATCTTCTCTTCATCTTCATCTTCATCTTCATCTTCTCTTTATCTTCTCTTCATCTTCATCTTATCTTCATCTTCATCTTCATCTTCATCTTCATCTACTCTTATCTTCTCTTCTCTTCTCTTCATCTTATCTTCATCTTCATCTTCATCCAGTCTGTCAGTATGCTAATCTATGTATAGAAAGACATTTATACAGTGTTAGCTGATGTTAGCTGATGTTAATAAATGCTAATGAAATGTTCCTGTGTTTGTCAGCTACCGGCCGTACACCTACCGCCACTTTGCCCCTCCCACCACCCCCTGCAGCACCGACGTCTGCGACAGCGACTACACGCCGGGACGCAGGGCGCTCAAGTCCGGCGCCACTGTCTCCTCCGCCGCCGCCAAGGGCTACACCAGCGACCTCAACTACGACTCGGAGCCTTTCCCGCCGCCGCCGACGCCCCGCAGCC